AAGGGTGCCCTCATTTCTTCTGCCACTGTCAGCTGAGATCAGCTGCTTCTTCATAATCTGAATTTCCTTTCCCCTCCCTCTCTCCCCATGGTTAAGAGCATGGGCTCCTCCCTGGTTTTGACAGCTGCTGGGTGTGGTGAGAACATGGAACTGCATGGGTAGTGTTACACCTTGCCTCTGTGTGTGTGTGCACATGTGTACATTGTATACTTTCAAGTTGTTTCTGACTTATGGCTACCCTAAGGTGAAACTATCATTGGGTTTTCTTGGCAAGATTTATTCAGAGGGGATTTGTGATTGCCTTCCCCTGAGGCTGAGAACATGTACTACGCCTAGTGGGTTTCATGGCCAAGCAGGGAACTGAACCCTGGTCTCTAGAGTCACAGCCAAACACTTAAACCACTATGCCACGCTGGCCTACTCAAAGCAGAATCTCAATCAGTGATCCCAAAAACCATTTTTCCAAGCTCTTCTGAGGCTGATAGTTTTACTCTTTGATTATGACGATGAAGAAAATGAAGATGATTTATTGTTTTAGATAATATTAATTCTCTTTCCAGAGGTAAAAAAAATAAAGAGATCAGTGTCAGTGAAGGGTTATTTTTTCATTCAAATAGCAGCTTCAGGGCAGGAATTTTCTTCTGGCTCGCAACAGAGAAATAAAGGGTTAAATTTTCCCTTCTCTTTTCCTCTTGCTAGTGATTCTAATAATGTTCCTCAGCACCACCCAGCTGATATTATGTGCAGTTTACAAAAATACTCCATGTTAAATGCAAAAAAGGTGTTTCATTTGGGGTGTGTTTTGTCTCTTATCCATTTGCTTAATGCTGCCCAGTGCAAAGGGAACATTGTAATGGTTCTGGGTGAGGTGTTCTATGGTTCCCTCATTAAAAAAAATGTTTTACTAGTGGTTCATTATTTGTTTGGAACCATTGAATACATTTTCTCTGAGTGCCCTGTTCTTACCCCGCACTCTTTCCACCCACATCCCTACTGAGCGCAGTTTGATACACAGGTTTCTGTGGGTGTTTGATAGTTATACTGTCAGTTGCTACTTGTAGGCAAAACCTTTCAAAGAAAGAAACACACCACAGTCTTCAGAAGGGGCTTGAGTTCTAACATAACCAAAATGGCTCTGACAGAGCTAGACAAGATAACAATATTCCTGAAGAAGTGACTGGAGGCACTGAGCCTCTGGGATCAGAAACAGATTAGTGGAACGCCTGCCAAAGTGATATGTGGATAATGCATCCACAGTCATCCCTGACATAATGTCTCTTGTAATTATGGGTACATTCGCACTGCAGAAATAATCTGGTTTCACACCACATTAACTGTAATAGTAATAGTGCCACTCTATTCTGCTTTGGTCAGGCCTCACCTGGATGTCCAGTTTTGGGTATCACATTTCAAAAAGGATGTTGACAAATTGGAGCATGTCCAGAGGAGGGCGACCAAAATGGTGAAATGTTTGGAAACCGTGGGCCTCAGCAGACGGCTGATTGAGCCGTCTCTGAGACCCGGAAGAGGAGGGGCAGCCGCACGAGCGGCGCCCCTTCCTCTTCCTGAGGTCGCCCTCAGAGTCGCCGGCCCTCCGCACGGCCGGCGCTCCGGGGATGACCTCACGCCGCAGCGACCGCATGCGCTGCGGCGGAAGAGTCAGGGAAAGTGCACCAGCCGCTTTTAGGGCGCACTTTCCCTGACATCTAAAAGGAGCGCCAATTTGGAGCTCCTTTTAGGGGCACCGTGGTGCGGAGGCTCCGCTCCGCCGGCGCTCCGTCCGCTGGCATCCCGGAAGCAGTCGTCTGCTTCCCCCCCATACCTTATGAAGAAATACTTAGGGAGCTGAGTATGTTTAGCCTGGACAAGAGATGGTTAAGGGGTGATAGGATAGCCCTGTTTTAAGTATTTCACATTGAGGATGGAGCAAGCTTGTTATCTGCTGCTCCAGAGAACAGGACCCAGAACAATGGATGCAAGCCACAAGAAAAGAGATTCCACCTCAACATTAGGAAGAACTTCCTGACAGTAAGAGTTGTTCAGCAGTGGAACACACTCCCTCAGAGTATGGTGGAGTCTCCTTCTTTAAACAGAGTCTGTATGACCATCTGTCAGAGGTGCTTTGATTGTGTGTTCCTGCATTGCAGTGGGTTGGAGTGGATGGCCCTTGTGGTCCCTTTCAACTCAATGATTCTATGAACTGCCCTGGCACATTGCTATGGAATTCTGGGGACTGTAATTTGTTTTGGCACCACAGCTTGTGATGTCAAACTAAATTATTTCTGCAGGGCAGATGCAGCCTATGTCTCTCTAGTTGATTTGGCAAGTACCTCTTCTTACTCTGAGCCATGATGCCAAGGGGCAATGACAGCTGTCAACCAGGGGGCAGCAGGTTAGGGACGCCTCTAATGGAAATGTGAAATTCACACATTTATTCAGTTGTATTGATTTGGTGGATCTGATCTATTTGGAACTGAGAACTGGATTTAGACCATGGCAAATTGATTTGTTTGTTTTAATTTATAGCCTGCCTTTTTCCCAACATGAGATCCGAGGTGGGATCCAAAACCTGTAAGTACAAAAGTGAAAACAAAATTAAACCAAAATTCTATTTTTAAAAAAGACACATGGTAAAAATGCAAGTTAAAAGCAATTTTTAAATCATTTATAAAACAAAACAGAAATAAGACACACACACTCCAAAAACAGGGAAGTTACTTTTTTGGACTGTATCTCACTGAATCCCTCATCCAGTAAAGATGCTAGCTGGGTTATTTGGGGATTGGTAGTTCCAAAAATAACTGGTTCTCTTACTTTGTTATTATGGATTATGTAGTGGTTTTGAGTGTTTCTTTATTCTTTATTGACTGTTTAACCTGCTTTCTTTTGCAAGTCACTTTGACGCTTGGCAGTAAAAAGTAATTTCATGGCCATGCTGGCTGGGGAGTTCTGAGGACTGTAATCTAAAATAAAGGGGGAGGGGTGAAGATAGCATTACTATGCTTGAAGTTATACTCCTTAAGTGTCTCTCCAGAGCAGCCTTCCACCCTCCAGATGTTTTGGAATTCGGCTCCTTTAAACCTGTTATTAAGCCTATCAGTGAAGAATGATGGAAGTTGAAATACAAATAACTTGGAGACCACTGTTTTGGACACAACTGCTCTAGAGTCTCTTGAGGAGGTCTTTCTTCTCTCCTGTTAAAAAGGGCTGACCCAAGAGATTTTGCTGCCTGATGCAATTGTTTATAATTGATGCCATCCCCCATGCCATGTGCATGAGTGACCTGAATCTTACTTCTGTATCAGCAATAGCATAGCATCCACACTGACATCATAAAGGCACTTCAGGGTGTGGAGAACATTGCTTTATGGTTTTAACTTCAAAATGTGGGTTTCAACCTATAAATCCCTATTTGGCTTTAGATTCAGGTTATTTGAAGGACTATATTCTCTCTTATGAACCTGGCTGTGGTTTGAAATCTGCTGCTGGGCTCCTTTTCTCTGTCCCATCACCCTCCCAGATACAGGCAGGAACATGGAAGAGGGCCTTTTCAATGGCTACCACCAGGCTCTGGAACTCCATTCCAAGAGAGATTAGTTTGACATCCTTAGTTCCTCCTCACTTTCCACAGACAGGAGACAGGTGAATGCTTTTCTGTTTCAGCAGGCCTTGAGGACTGATTGTACAAGACCTGTCCTACCTAAACAGCAACAATTGTACACAGCAATAGCCTTCTTAGGCAGGAAAGACCAGACAGTCACTGTTGCCTCCCAGCATTTTCCATCTGCTGCGATTTCCTGCCTAATGAAAGGGCTGGACTGGCTGTTGCCTGGGATTGAACTGGAAACATTCTGCACACAATTGAACTGTGAACCCCCTCAGTGTAGGCTATTAACAGCATTGCATCAAATGCTGAGAGCTAACCACAGCAGAAGTTATCTGAATGACTTCCACAGGGTAGCTTTGCCAGTTGCATTTAGTACAAAAAAACAAGCAAAAGTTTTGCATGACAATGGATTTGTTGCCATATTATACAACATGAGTGGAGGGTTGAATGTTAAGAATGTTACTCACTACAGTTGTATAGGTGAAGAGAATTTTTGATGTTGAAAAGCATTCAAACATATTCCCTACAGTAGTAAAAGGATAGAGAATATTTGACGTAGGAAAGCATTCAAACAACCTTCCCAGCTTTACCTATCTGATATTTAGCTAGGGAAGATTAAGGGGAATATAATGGAGATTGTCAAATATCTGAGGAACTTTTTATGGTGCACACTTCTCTTTCACTGGAGACTAGACCAGCCAGTGGAAATTGCAGGCTAACACATTAGTGGAAACCTGTATATGGTAATTCCTGGGCAGCAGACATGTTTTATTCTCTTTTGTTTTAAGACCAGCTAGACAATCTTCTGGGGTCCTGAAATAGCATCCAGTAGGTCCTGCACTGGGCATGGAGTGGATTTGATACCTTCCTCGATACTTTGCCTTCAAGTTGCCTGTCAACTTATGCAACCCCATGAATTTCACAGGATTTTCCTAGGCAAGGACTATGAAGAGGTGGTTTTGCCAGTTCCTACAGCACCACATATTCATTGATGGTTTCCCATCCAAGTACTAACCTGGGTCCTTCCAAACGTATGTTCTTTGTATTGGATCTTACGGCTTCAGTGTTTCCAAACTCCCATTCAGTGATCACAGAAAAAGCTGTTTCTCTAATAAGTAAACTTCCTTTTGTGGACTGACTCAGTCCCAGTTCCACAGTCAACACAGCCTCCTGCCACACTACTTTCCTTTTGGGCTGTATTCTCCCAGTTTCTGATGAAACCATTCAGACCAGTTTCACCCGTTCAATGTCTGTTTCACTCCATCCTTGAATGAAAAAAGAAAGACTTAACTAGTTTCATAGAATCACAGCATTTGAAGGGACTGCAAGGACCATCTAAGTCCCTGCCATGTAGGAATACACAACAGAAGCACTCCTGAAAGGTGCCTACTCAGCCTCTGTTTGGCGATGGAGAGTCCATCACCCTTCAAAGCAGTCTGTGTCAAACAGTTTTTACAGTAAAGAACTTATTCCTAATGTTTCGGCAGAATGTCTTTTCTTGTAACTTGAATTCTAGTCTCTGGAACAGCAGAAAACAGGCTTGCTCTATTTTCTACATGATATCCTTTCAGGTACTTAATGATGGTTGTCATGCTGTTTCTCATTCTTCTCTTCTCCAACCTAAGCTTACCCAGCTTCCTAAGGTGTACCTCTTAAGACTTGGTTTCCCGACCTTTGATCATCTTAGTCATCCTTCTCTGGACATCTTACAGCTTGCCAATATCCTCCTTGAACTGTGGTGCCTAGAACTGAATACAGTATTGCAGGTGACATCTGACCAAATTAATCAGCATGCTTGTGAAAGGGTATGC